GAGAGAGAAAGAGCAAGTGCGTGCATGTGTGTGAGGGGCAAAGAGAAAGGGAGACAGAGGATCCAAAGTGGGCTCCTCCATGCTGGCAGCAGAGAGCCTGACGCAGGACTCGAACCCACGAACCATGAGATCATGACCTGAGCCACCCAGGTACCCCAAAAGTAAATGGGTTTCTTCATAGGAGGCTTATAGCATATCTTTAGCCTCCGTCATCAGGATAGTTTTATAGGCTGTAGCTGGTAAGAGATGAGTGAACTGAAGGACATGGTCCACAGATAATCTTGTTCCATTTTGAGATTGGACGCCACAATACCCATATCTTGCCAGCCATCCTTTGATGATGCTTTGGCAGGAAAAACATATCTTGAAATCCTTCAAAGCTGATTTTTCCCCTCACAGAGACATTTTTTTTGCCGGCCTAGAAGGATGGGGTGCTGGGATGTGAAAGTGGGATATGGGAAAGGCAATTTGAATTGAGACCTTTGATTTTAGTTTAACATCCAGCAGGCAAGGGATTTTCTAATCTAAAGCTACTTCCCTTCTTAAAGGAGAAACTCTTTTCTGGTTTATATTTCCTTCTCAAGAAGTAAGATTCATATGTTTTCTTCCCATATTAGTGAGATTGAACATCTTTTCATTATGTTTACTGATCACTTGTATTACTTTGGTGAATTGCCTATTTATGTCCTTTGACCTCTTTTATTATGAGGAGATTACTTCTGTAGAATAAGGGCATTAAAACTTTGCCGTATGTGTTTCAAAGATATTTTTCATTTTGTCAGTTGTCTTCTTTTACCCTTGGTTGTACTTTTTAATTTTAACTGCACAGAAGCTTGTGATGAATCTATAAATTTTTCCTGAAAAGTATCATCTCATTATGGTTAGAGAATTTCTGCTGAGTGCTGTAACACATATCTGAGTTTATGTGTAGACTGATCCACTTAATAAACATTTTTCCTTACAGAGAGGCGATTGATTGTCACATGATTTGAAGAGTCTTTGCAAACTAACATAGGCCTGTGGCTGTAACACCTTAATAACAATAGTTACCACTTACAGCTTTGTGCCAGGCAATATGCTAAGTTTTTATGTACTGTATTCCTAATATTCAACTTCATGCTACATATTATTGTCCATATTTCATAAATGGGTCAAGTGGGCCTAGAAGTGAAATGATTTGTTCAGGGTCTTAGAACTTGGTAGTGGCTGGATTGGAATTTTAATTTAAGTCTGCCTAACTTCAAAGTATATACTTTCTCTACATAGCTTGGCTCCTTGAGGCTTCAAATAAATTAGATTCGTCCTAAAAGTTAAGTAAATATCTTTTATCAGAACTTGAAAAGATGGGCTGTAGCCTAGTTAAACTGCTTCCGGTTTCTGAGAGCACAATGAAGGCAATGAGAAGTATGTAAACTGGCCGAAAGAAAAGTCTGTACCATCTAGGGCAGTGGTTTTCAAAGAGTGGTTCCCAGGCCAGCAGCCTCAGCATCACTTAGGCCTTTATTAGAAATACAAATTCGCAGGTCCCACTCCAGACCTACAGAATCAGAGTCTGGGGTTGGGCCCAGCTATCAGTTTTATAGTACTTCTGGCTGATTATGATGCATGTTAAAATTTGAGAACCACTGGTGAAGGGAAATTATTTTATTCTCTCTAATCATAATTTCTGCTTTTGTGAGCTTCTCCTAAGTCTCAGCCCCTAAGTGCAAAATTAGCATTATCAGAAAAGCATAGAGTCAAACAGGAGCCAGTTTTGAGATCGGTTTAATGAGCATTTAAAGCAAGTCCACCTCACCGAGCCACAGTTTCCCATCTCCAAAGTGATGTTTTAAAAAAACTTTTTTAATGTGTATTTATTTGTGAGACAGAGACAGAGCACGAGTGGGGGAGGGGCAGAGAGAGAGAGGGAGACACAGAATTCGAAGCAGTCTCCAGGCTCCGACTGTCAGCACAGAGCCCGACATGGAGCTCAAACTCGTGAACCATGAGATCATGACCTGAGCTGAAGTCGGACGCTTAACCGACTGGGCTACCCAGGTTCCACCTCCAAAGTGATGTTTTAGTAACATCTATCTCCATAAGATAGTATGTAAAGCGCATAGCACCTTGCCAGTCTCCCAGATGGTTGAGAAATTGCCTCTAGCAATTTTTCTTGTTTAGCAAAAAGGCCCCACCTGCCTTCTATTCTCAACTTCTTTCTTTTTTTTTAATTAATTTATTTTTTTTTCCTCCAGTGCTTTATTTTTTTTATTAAAAAAATTTTTTTTTTCAATATATGAAATTTATTGTCAAATTGGTTTCCATAATTAATTTATTTTTGGGAGAAACAGAGCATGAGCGGGGGAGGGGTGGAGAGAGGGAGAGAGAAAGAATCCCAAGCAGGCTCTGCACTATCAGCGCAGAGCCCGATGTGGGGCTTGAACTCACAAACCATGAATGAGATCATGACCTGAGCCAAGAGTCAAACACTTAACCGACTAGGCCACCCAGGTGCCCCAACTTCTCTCGTTTCTTGAATGTATTTTGCTGTCTTGTATCTCTGAGCCTTTGTATTAGCTATTTCTCTTGGACGCTCCCACCCCTACCCCTGTCTGCCTCACTAACTTCTAGAGATCCTTTTGATCCCTGCTTGTAGTTTACTTCTGGAGAGGGCTTGCTCAAACCTCCACCCTCCAGTCTCTGCTCACATAGCAGCCTGTGTTTCTCCTGTCACTGCATGTATCACAAATTTTGGAATTGCCTGTCTCCTTATATAAACTTAATTGAGGGCAGGTAGTGTCTTGTCTACTGCCATATTCTAGGGACCAGTAAAGTTCCTCACACACTATAGGAGCTAATAAATGTTGAATGAATGAATGGTGGCTGTCATTATTGCCGCTGCTGCATCGTCATCATCACCATCATCGTCGTCGTCATCATCACCACCACCATCTGAGAGCGAGCTTCCCTCTCTGGCTTATGGTTTTTGTGCTGACTGCTTGTGATAATCATAGATAGTATTAGGATCAGTGCCTGTTTTTTCTTTCCCTGAAAGCACAGGCTTTGACCTAGACTGATATGGTAGTTCATTGAGCTGCTTCCTAACCACGATTCCTCTGTGTCACAGGTGCCTTGGGGGAACTGTGCGCCTTGATGGGTCAAGTTCATCATGTGCCAAACCCAAAATGGCAGCATCCTTCGGACCTCACCATGCGGTGAGTGGGTGATGAGGAGGAGGGGGAAAAGGGTAGAATTTGGCCACGGGAGGAATGTGGTGGGGAATTGGGTGTAATTGTATAATTCCAGAGGTAGAAAAGAAGCGGTAGAGTATAGTGGAGTAAGAACTGGACTGAAATCCAGGAAACGCGGGGTCGGGTACTAGCTTTGCAGTTTATAACCAGATGTATGATTCTGACCAAGTCACTCCATTCCTCTGGTCCTCACATCAGTAAAACTAGTATGTTGCACTAATTGACGTCCAAGGGTCTTTCTGTTCTGAAATCTTCTGGATTCTTGATGCAGGGTGGTTTTACACATCGATTCAGTGACTTTGATTCAGTTACAGAAACTTTGGAGTCATCTTTGACTTTCACCCCATATTCAGTCCATTAGCAAATCCTGTAAGTATATCCAAAACTTGACCATTTCTCATCATTTTCACTTGGACTGTTGCAGGTCTTCTAAATGGTCTCCCTGCTTCTGCCCTTGCCCATCTACTATTCTCAACTCGGCAGCCAAAGAAATTCAGATTCTCTGCTCAAAACTTTCCATCTCACATTTCCCACCCTCACAGTCCCCTATAAAGACCATGGCCTGACATTGTTAGCTCACCAACCTCATCTCCTACTACTCTTCCCCTTGCTCATTCTGTTCTAGTCACACTGGCTCCCTTGCTATTTTTCTAATATGTCACACGTGTTCCCACCCCAGGGCCTTTATGCTCAGTGTTTCCTCTCTAGTTGCCAAAATGATAGCAAATCTCAGAAAGACAGGGCAGTGTAATGGTTATTAGATGAACTCTGGAGACAGGTATGAATTCAAATCCAGGCTCTTGTACTTACTCCACTTTATGACCTTGGGCAAGTTATTTAACCTGAGACTCAGTTTCCTTACCTGTACAAAATACTAATGAGAGTGCTTTTCTGGCAGGATTGTTATCAGCATTAAATGAGGTGAGGTATTTACAGAATTCAGCAAGTACTTGCATATAGGGCCAGATAAATGTCATAAGATGTTATAATTATTTTCAGTTCTGGCTACTCATAATCACCTGTGGAGATGTCTAAAAATACAGATGTCCAGGCCCTGACTCAAGGGATTCTAAATCATTAAGTCAGGGGTTGGGGTGGGGGTGTGGTGCAAGAATCTCAATCTTTAAAAAGCTTCCCAGGTGGTTATTAGGAAGAGCTGGGGTTGAGAATGAGCTCAGATTATCACACAGGGTGTTTTTCAGAAGTACAGCCTAAAGGACTGGGGGTGACTAAAGGAGAATCTCAAGAAACTTTGAGTCCGTGCTATTAATTATTCAGTCTCCAAACTTGCAATGTGATACTCACATGATGACTTACCTTCTCTGGGAATTTTATTCTAATTTTAACTGCTGAGTCCTGAGCAACCTTGAGCTGTGTCAGACAGTGAGGTCCTGTTGGAGGTACAAGCATGATGCAGTGAAATACAGATCCTGTTCTAAATGTTTCCTGAGGGAGAGAATTTTTTTTGCCTACTTGAGTGTTATTATACATTATGTATTAGGTTTTCTTAACATTTGTGTATGTGGCATATATCACCATAATACCTATGTGGCAATTTGGCTTTGGGAGTTGGAAGGAAATAGCACTTACATTGTGACTTTCATATAAATAAAATAGTACAAAGTTTCTAAAATTGTGAGGATTGAAATGTAAAATTAGTATCTGCTATCCAAAAGTAAAGATACTCTTCAAATAGTTGCCTAGGCCATTTTTTGTGTACAAATAGCCATTCCAGCCGAAACACTCATTTTTCCTGTTTTTATTTTCCCTTTCTCCTGATAGAAACTACGCTCGGTTCCGACAGAAACCTCTGCAAAGATACAGTCTGACTCAGTGGGTTGACAGGAACATGCGAAGCCACCATCGGTTCCAGCGTCTCCCAGATTTCCCACCGAGTCCATTTGTCTCACCCCATCAGCAGTGAAGGTCTCTATCCAGGGTCCTGTTCCAGGTCCTGTTTGGAGCAGCAGCTCATCTTCTGCTCTTTTGTGCTTTGTAGATTTTGAATTTTATTTTTCACGAGATTTTTATTTAAAGAACTTGCCACCTTTTGGAAATTCCCGTTGCTGACTTGAAATTTTTTTGTATAACGTCCTTCTTGTTTGTCTGTGTGCATGCGTTTAAGCACTGTTAAGTTTTTATTTTTTTAATTTAAATTGAAGGTGACCACTAATTGAAAGCCAGCATCAAGCCAGAATACCTAGGCTCAGGCAAAGCACCCACCTCTGCACAGAGGTGAAGTCTACTTCTGGTGCCCAAAAGAAATCATCTTCTCATCTCCTGTAAGGAAGAGATTACCAGGCTGCAAGCCAGCATTAATTACTGCTAATGACTTATAAGTGGATATAAGTCACTTTTAACAACCCCTCTTTTTTATTTGAATCTCTGAATACCTGTCAGTATTTTAAAGTCGGTAATCCAGCACATCTGAAGTAGGATGGAGCAGGACAAAAATCCTGTTGAAGGGACAAATTAAAAGTGTAAATCTTCTCTCTTTTTTGTACTTACTAGCCTCCTTTATTTATTTATTTTCTTTGCCCCCTGCCCCCATTCTTCATTAAATTTGTTTTGCACAATAGGTTTACAAATGTTACACATCTTAACTCTGACAGAAGACTGCTGACTAACCCTTGTTGATTTGTGGTCTTGAGACTGATTGTCTTCTCTTTTCTCAAGGATTTGCCTTCTTTTTCCCCAGTGACCACCGTGCTCCTTAAGTTCTGTTGGTGTGTTCCTGTATTCTGTTAGACATAGACATGCCTCTTAAGAGCAGCCTCCCTGCTCTCTTTATTAAAGAGCTTCCCACCCAGAGTCTTCACTCTAGGACAGGCCAGCAAACCAGTCCTACTGAGGTGTGAGTTGGTTTTCAGTTTCATCTGCTCAACTCCAACTTCAAGTGTGAGTTGATGTGTTAGTCAGTGAGTCCATCATACCCTGTGGGAGAGACTCTGGAGAGGCACTCTGTTGTCTCCATTAGTAGTTAACAAGAGGTGCCTTTAGCTTCCGGATGTTACCATCTCATTTGGTCAAACCTCTGATACACAGCTTGACAAAACTGATAATGTGGGTCTAATCAGTTGTGATTAAGCCTGTGCACGAAAGCATTACCTGACCTTCAGGTTAGGTATTCTACCTTAAGTTGACAGACTTTGTGCAGCCTAATGGATGTCAAGGAGTTCGTCATTCTTTCTATACAGCCAGCTCTAGACATCTTTGGGGAGATTTTGCAGTCCGGCATTCACGCTACTGTTCATGCTCCGTGGAGGCTGGGCGTAGTCGCTGTGGCGCAGCCTGTGGTACCAGGCTAGCTGCCTCCTTCTGCTTTTGTTGTCCCATCGGCCCATCTCTGCACTCATCTTAAACAGCCTACCCGGCTTTAGAAAACGACTTGGGAAAAGTTTAGTCATTCAAGCCACCAGTAAACTTAGATGGATGCCACTAAGTGTTTACTGTTTTTATCCAGGTGAGGAGTCTCTTCCTTGGACATTTGGTTTAGATTCTAGAACCAGATGCAAAGAAGTTCTGTTCAGAGCCAAGAGTCAAAATCGATTTCAGTTGGCATAATGGACATTTACTCAATCAGTCACTTCTCCAGATTTCCCTAAATTAGCATGATGGAGTGAGCGAGCAGACATCCACCTTTGGAACCACAGCATAATAAAAATTAATTGGAGCTGGAGTAACTAGCACTGTGGCTGTCTAGTTCTCCACAGTCGGCCCAAGGAGTGAAGGGACGGCATTTCGCTTTGGCTCATGTTCCTGCACTCCTGGTACAAGAGGGTTTAAGCCTGAATGTGTAACGGCAGCCTTGCCTTTGCCAAATCAAATGAGTGACGGGTTAACTAGAAAATGTGACAATCACATTTCCTCTTTGCTCAAATAATTCTGTTTTTCCAAAGCTTTAGCAGCTTAATTAAATCTGTTGGACTGGGGGAGGAGAGAACTGTTCTTTAGCGGTTAACATGGTATTCTTTAAGAAGAAAAAAACAAAGCCAAAGAAAACTCATTATCAGGCATGTTTGCCTTAAAGATGGTGGTGGGTAAAATCTGGAGTTTTAATCTGTATTTAAAGCTGCATATCTCCTATGTGGTGCTGGCCTCTCAGACTAGTATTTGGTGATGAGTTCTTGCTGTATTGTTTTAATGGAGTGACGGTTATGTGCATTTAACTGCCTACCTAGCTTTCTTCGTTCATGATGGCATTCTCACCACGGGGGTCTTGACAAAGAGTAAAAATGTGCTGTTTACATAGTTTACTTTTAAGAGCCTGAAATAACCTGTAGTTTTGCATCTAACACAGGCCTGATTTACTTGAGTTGTCGGGATCAATTATGAAACTGAAGTTTGGTGCCTCCTCTTTATCATGTTTTTTCCCTTGTAGCAGTTGTGTTTAATGTCATTAAAAAGAAATAAAAGTTCTTGTCGTGGCATATGTACTGTAGCCGTCTGTTGCAGGCTTTGAAGGAGGGTTCCTTCCTCTTTTGCGTGGGTAGGTTAGTGGGGTCTGGGCGGGGGTGGCAGTTAGTAGATTGTGGTACTGGGGAGGCGAGGGTGCGTGCTCCCTATTCTTTTGAGGGTAAATTACAGTGTTGAGAAAGGCGTTCCAGCAGTTCAGAAATGTTGAAATTGATTGGGATCTGCAGCTACATATAGTGCATGTCAGGAGCCTGACATAGAGAAAGCCTGAAATATCACTGTGCTGTTTTTGCAGAGGGGGAGACGGCTCAGCCCCATCACACAAGCGCTGCCTTACAGTCCTTCCCACAGCTATATGGTTGACCTCTGTATCAGTCTCTCCCGAGCCACTGCTGATTAAGGAGGATGCTGAGCTATCCCAGGACATTCTCCCTTTAAAAGGGATGTGGGAAACCAGAATTGATCATACAGAATTGATGGTTGTTCTTAATCCAGCTTCTCCAGAAACTGACTGCTCCTGGAACTTGGATGAAGGTGGCATTAAGCGTGGGTAGTTGTGGGAGACACGACGTTCCTTCGATCCCTTTTGTGAGCCTAAGCTTCTTAGACTTGCCCCAGGAGACAGGATGAAGGCAGTAATAGCTTGTCACCTATATTAGCCAATGCTTTTAAAATCTCCCCTCATGCTGAGGAAATAAGTAGCAACATGTTGGGACAGGCTCTCTGTCCTGCTGTTAACGTAAGTTTCGTCTAGTGGATATTGTATAGTCCAGGCAAAAGCTTCAATATAAATTTGCTAAACACTCAGCTGTTTGATACATATCCATTTTGTTTCTGTCAGGTGGAGATCCCTTGTCCAGGGAGTTGCTTATTTCCTTTTTAGCACCGTGTCACTGCAGACATCAAAGGTTTCAGAGACGAGGCTGCATTCTCTGAAGTGATGATGTCCTTTACCCTTAGTTCATGTTATGTTATAGGAAATTGAGGGGGAGGAGAAATGGACCTTCTCTCAAAGGAATGGGGTCATTCTCTAGCCTATTTTGAGCTTTTACAGGAAGAAAAAAAACCCAACCACCTAAAACTAGAAAGCAGAGTTCCCTGCTTTTCTCAGTGTTGTCCTGCTTTTCCCAGAGCAAACAATTCCTAAGCTGGTTCTAGGGAATGCTTGCTTTGTATGTCAGGGCACCTGTCAGGAAAAAAATTTCCACTTGTCACAGGAAGTATCAGCTGGTCAGCAGTGGAATTCCTTAATGAACAAGCTCCTGCCTTGTCAGTCCTCTCCACCTGTCCTGTCCGATGACAACTGGAACATGCCACAGACAGAAAACCAGACCTTCCCCAGCACCCGCTGAGAAGGGGGTGGGATGTGATCTCTTGGACAAGCTTTAAAACACTCCACTTGGTAGTCCTGAATCACTATCGTTCTCATTAAGGAACTACTGGTATAGGAGGAGCTCCTTCAACTTAGCTTCCAATGACACTTTGAGGGTTTGGGAACATTGTACTGATGGAGCTTGGTGCGGCTGGAGTGGGGCCGGGGCCGTGTCCCATTTATGGAAGCAATTCGTTCTTGGAGGCCACTTAAAAGCGAAATCCAAAAACTGTCAAATAGGTTTAAAGAGGGTGAGAAATAACAGCAGTCTGAAACATCACGTGACTGGGGTGGTGCAATATTACATATTTTTGTAAAAGGGCTGAATTAGCTTACCATGGATTCTAGAGGCGGCCACCCTGAAAAGCCTGGGTTGAAGGGACAGGATCAGAAAGAGCAAAGGACTCCTGCCCCACAGAAACACTCATGGTCCTTCCTCTCCCAGACCCTGGGGCTTCCCTCTTCCTGTTCTTACCCTTTTTGTTTTTGACACATAAGGAAACCACCCCCCAGAGAAGTAACTGGCCTGAGAGGTCATGTGGTGACAAGGCAGGTTCTCTGCCCTCCGTCCAGCATTGTCCAACATTCTCCCACAGGCCCTGCGTGGCCTGCGGGTCAGGTCTCCGTCTCCAAGAACTTGCTTACATCCGTCCCAAGCTGTGAGGAATCTGCGGATCTAAGTGTGGTGAAGAGGGGACCCCAGCCCAAGTCATAGCTGTAGGTTTACTGTGCAATGACGGCTGGTCTGAGAAAAGCTCAGTCGTAGAACGTGGGGTTTTTAGGGATGTAACTAAAGAGAATGGGGTAAATTTATCTAAACCAGAAGTGTCCACTCCTCTCCCCTCCCCCTCAGACCCTCAGCCGATGTACTGCAGGCCCTGCTAAATTCCCCTTAGCAGTGCCTTCCTGACCACCGACAGCGATCTGTATTTACCTGATGCCGACTTAGGGGCTTCTCCACCACAAGGCACCAGACAGGCACACAGGACCCAGGGCTTGGCAGGTACCGGCCTCTCAGGTTGGGGTTAGAGTTCTGGGTGCTAATAGATTTCCACTTTCCCACCCAGCCTTCAAGACCTGTCTTCCTCCTCTTGGAACCTTCCAGAACGTCTACCCTAAGTCCTGCTCACCTGACATTTTCTCTCCAAGCTCTTGCTGGCTCTGGACAAAAAGTATCTGAGGTGTCCCATTTACCAGTTTGCTCACTGGCTAATGGCATCGTTACTCCACCTTTCAGCCTGCTGTTTGGGCTCATCATGACGTTCCTTGGACAGCCCCAAACAGCAAGCTGGGAATACTGCGCTGCAGCAGGCCGCTTCCGCAGCTCCTCTCCGCTCCCCTCCTCACCCTGGGGAGAAACAAGAACCACATTCCTTCGGGTAGGGGAAAACACCCAGCGCTACCCAGAGGGGAAAACCCTTTGTTTTAAAAACTGAGCACCAGCCTGCATACCTAGGCGATGAGGCAGCCCGAGCCTGGATTTGGGGGCCTCAGTAATGGGATGATGGAGCAGCTATTTTCTCCTCCTACACGTGCACCCCCATCTGTTCGAGATTTCCCTTCCAACTCCAGCTTGGCTGGCAGGCATGTCCCTAAGAAGCTGCAGGCCAAAATGGAGAGAGAGAACCGACTCCCTCCTCCACACATCCTGACTTGCTGCCAATTGCCAGAAAAAGAGGGCAACATTTGGGCATTTACCAGAAGACAAGGATGTGCCTTTTCATTTGTCTTTTATTTTACATTTAAAAAGAGGTTATTGCTCTAACTGAATCAGAGGTAAGGACCTCTCCCCTAAGCAGCCTTGGCCTTGCAGTCCCATTCAGCAGGGATGGAAGTCACAAGACAATGAGTGGAGCCTCATGCCCTCCCATGAGGAAGCCCTTAGTATTGCTGACATCTGCCTTTCACCCTGTCTCTCCTCCCTCCCTGTGCTGCCACACCAGGGCGAAGCAGAGCAGTGGCTGGCCTAGCCACGAGAGCTCTTCTAGACCGGATGGTGGGGCCGGTCTTTGGGTGATGGCTTTCAGCTCTCTGGCTTGGGGGCCACTGCTCTTACCATTCAGTTCAGCAGGTATTCACTGAGCGCCTACTGTGTGCCAGGCTTGTGCTAGGTGTGGTCCTCCCACATGCCCGTCCTTAGCCACCAATGGAAGACGCAGAGGCCCATCTCTTCCCACGCAGGCATTCAGCGGCTGTAACTTGCAGTCCTAGGGAAGAGTCTGCCTTCCCTTGTCAAGCACCATTTTTGTTTTGTTTTGTTTTGTTTGCCAGAAAGGGGCAGTGGAGAGAGAGACCTGTCACCTCACACCACTCAGGCTCTAGGGAAGGACATGAGGACCCTGGGTAGCTTTCACAGAACCCTGGATGAGATGGCAAGATATGGAGACCCCGGAGGCCAGGGCTGCTCTGTCTGTGGTAAATGGCTCAGGCCTGCCTTCTAGCAGCTTCCATTCCAGAGCGGGTGATTTAGCAGCCCCCAGGATGTCCCATGCGGACACACCTTTTCAGTCATGTAAGCCAACATTGTCACAATTCCAAGACTCTTCCTAAAGAAATGGGGCCAGTACCGTCCAGGTCTCTTTCCTACCTCGTCTTCTTAAGACTGCAGACTAATTATGTTAAGGGTCAAAATAAGGGCCAAAGAAGACAGAGGCTGCGGGCAACCAGCTTGGGGAATTCCTCTGCCCTCTGGAGTGAAGCCCTTCCGTCACATTTTCCAAAGAGACAAAACATAACATCTTACACACTCGCAAAGTTGTGCATCACACCGCAAGTCCTTGATGGCTGGATCCAGGAAAGGCTTGCTGGCAGCCGTGCTCCTGCCCTGTGGCTTTCCTGAAGGCTCTCAGTCTGAAAGACACAGCTGAAGTCAGTCTAGGTGCTTGTCATCTCCCGGGAGCTCTGTGCATTGTCTCAAAGAGGAAGCCAGTCCAGAAGAGGCGAAGAGGCAGAAAGAAGGCTGTGTCTCATGCAGCTTTGCCTTTTCCAGAATGGGGCCAGGCCTTTTAGTTTTGTGGCTTGTTTATTTTTTGCAGATTTTGGGTTCACAGTTCGGTTTCCTTCAGCAGACTAGGATGGGGAAGAGTGCCAACGGTGCGGCCGGCTGTGCCTCCCCCCATCCGCAGTCCTCCCCGTCCGGGTGCCCATGGACCCGGGGACAGCAGAGAAGAAAAATGAAATCCTTCTCCCTGCAGACAGGCAGTCATGCTTCGATGATGTTCACCGAGGGCTTGTTTGGAAACTGGGAGGAAAAAAACGAGAGAAGCAGCCAGGGCTAATTGAATAGACTTCTTGCAAGGTTGGAACTAGAGAGAGGACACGAGAAGGAAGGGCTGCAGCCTAAAAGCCAGGCTCTCGTCCCGCGTGGAAGGAAAGGAGTGGCCCTGCCCGCGTGCCTCGTCTCTCTGCCTTCTTAAACCCAGCCTTCGGCCTCACTCGCTTAGTGGCCAAGACTGGGTGCTGGGCCCTCGGCCCCAGGCCCCCTGTCCACCCCCGGCAGGGCCATCCCGCCGGCCGTTTCTCGCGCATCCTGCGGACCTGCCTCTGAGCGCAGCCTCAGCCACTGACATTGTTGAGGTGCTTCTGGAGATGGGGGTTAAAAAGAGGCTTCAGGAAAACGCGGCAGAAAGAGAGAAGCCAAGAGAGAGGACAGTAAGCCAGGGGGTGTGAGGAGATGGAGGGAGGAGATGTGGAGAGGGCCAGATGTTTGTTGGATAATCATCGTCAGAACCATGACATCTCTCACTTCTCCACCGTCTCTTCTGAGCTGCTCAGAGCGAGCACTGAAAAGGTTCTCATATCTGTTTTTAGAAGAGGAAACGAAGGTACAAAGAGGTGAAGTGCCTGGTCAAGGTCACACAGCACAGCAGGAGCAGAAATGGGCCTAGAACCCCCTATTTGCGTGGTCCCACACCAACCGAGAATTCTGCCCTCCCCGGTCACCGCATCTGTTTAACCCCGCTGGCCCCTACAGAAGGTCCAAAATCGATGTGCTATGTCCCGTGTGTCACACAGGCAGCGGCCAAGCATGGCCCTACCCAGCTGCAGCCACGCTGGGACCCGAGCTGAGCCCAGGGCCTGCCCACGCAGGTCCAAGACTCCCTCTCACCTTGCTGCGGAGAAGACCTCCGCCCTGGTGCTCTGGTGTGCTGGTTTCCGACGCACTCTTGGTCTTCTCCTTGTTGTTATTGGGTTCGTTGTCCTTGATAATGTCATACTGGCGGCAGAAGAGGGCGATGACGCCTGGGAGGGGAGCAAGAGAGAGCAGTGAGAGGCCAGAGCTCGAGGCCCACCTGCCCGCTTCATTCCCGCTGGCATCTGCTGGGCCCCTGTTAGACACTGAGCTCCAGATGGCCTCTCCCCTGCACCACTGCACCTGTCCCCCACTAAGCCAACCCCTTTGCTGCCGCTGGGCTGATCTTCCTACGACACTCATCTGATCCCACCTTCCCCGCATTCAACCTCGGACAGCTCCCTTTTCCCCTTAGGGGAAATAGAAACCGTAACATTCGCTGAGCATGTGCCAGGCCCCGTGCAGTATGCACTGACTCGGCCGATGCCACCGTCCTCACAGCGCTGGGAGGGTACCTGTAATTACCCTCCCCAGGTTACCAGTGAGGACGCCGATGCAGAGCGCCTCGGCACCTACTCCAGGTCCTGCGGTGGCGGAGCCGGGATGCACACTCCAGGGCCTGCGCTCTGCTAGATGTTCATTGTTAGCAAACGAATAAGACGTGAACGTCATAGTTTTTGAAAGTCAGATACTATTAAGGCAGCCAACTCCAGTGCTGGTAGGTGTCTTCTCCATTTTTTACCTCTGTGTTTTATTTATAGTGCTATTTCTTGATCTGTTTTAGATACTATCTTTTGACTTTCCACCATGGTAGATACCCCGCTTCCTTCTCCACAATCCTAACAGAATCACATCACAATCTTGGGTTAGTTCACCATGTTTATATTGTTACGGTTATCTAAATACTGTCTGTGCCCAGTCTAATAACACACCATAAACCTCTTTTGTAAAATCTTTTGTGTTTTTTGGTCCTTTTTCTACAAGTGCCTGTTTTTTGTTTTTTTAAGTTCTTATTTATTTTGAGAGAGAGAGATAGCTCAAACAGGGGAGGGGGCAAAGAGAGAAGGAGAGAAAATCCCAAGCAGGCTCCAAGCTGTCCACGAAGAGCCCGACATAGGGCTTGATCTCATGAACTGAGAGATCGTGACCTGACCCGGAATCAAGAGTCAGACACTTAACTGACTGAACCACCCAGGTGCCCTACAAGCACCTGTTTTTTGATGTGCCTACAGAACATTTTTTCCAAACTTCTCAATACAGCCTGTCCTCTCAACCACCATGCTAATGCAGATTTGGCACGGTGTTCGAGTCCCTCAAAACAGACTCCAGCCTACTTTAGAGCCTCACCGTCCTTTACTGTCCCCTTTCTACCTTCTCTCTTGGGTCACAGCTGCACTGAGCCAGACTGAACTCAATTTGTTTCTTCTACACACTGTCATCAGAACACTGTTCCTTTTATTGGCTGCCTGGTGAACTCCTATTCATCCTTCAAAGCTCAATCCCCATGTTTCCTCCTCTCTGTGTTCTTCCCGATTTCTACTCCTAGCCCCAGAATTAATTCCCTCTCCTCTGCCCTCATGTGATGGCACTCATCACACTGAGTCACAGTTAAGTATGGGCCTCCCAGACCCAGTTCCTTGCAAGCCCAGGGCTCTCCTTAGTCACGACTATAGTACTACTATCTGGAATGGGATGGCCGTTCAGAAAATGCTGGTTGAGTTAAGTACAAAGATGACGTTTGTTCTTTATCCTCAGGTAGCTCACAGACAATTGGGAAAAGGGAGAGACATGAGCCCAACTACCTCATCTAAGAAAAGCTAAAGAGAGGGAAAAGCAGTGCATTGTGGGAACAAGATGCAAGATGGCCATTCTAATGGATGGACTGGAGACCCAGCAACCCAGAAGGAGGCATGAATGCTGCAGCCAAGGCCAGAAGGCAAAGGGGCTGTGGATGCGTCCACCCCAGGAGCCTGAACTACTCCTGAGGGAGGGAAGGCCAAGTGCTCCAAGGCAGCTCTCAATCTACTAAGTTTTTTTTGTGAGAGGTCAGATCTGGCCCCCAGAGCAGGACTTTGAGGCTTCTCATGTTATCTCTCAGCTGCCTCCAAGCCCCCACCCTTCGCTCCTGTGAGAGAAGGGGTCTGGCCAGGGGCCTTCATTCCCCGGAAGTCGAGTGAATTAGAGCTTGGAGGCAGACTCACCGGCCCACATGAACAGGACCACCACGATGATCAGCACCTCGCCGGTTCGTAGCTGTTGGCTCCTCCCCATCTCCTTCATGGTCACCTCATCTGTGGGGAGGGGGACACTAGGTCTGAGGCTCCGTTCATTCCCAGCCACCCCTCTAGGGCCAGGCCCAAGACCTTAAGTGCTTATTTCTATAGGTGCCCAGATATCTAACAAAAAGAGATTTGAGAACATGCCGATGGCTCCTTGGGGCAGCAGCAACAGGGCCTTGACCCAAAGCTGAGAGGCTATATCCTCATTGTTTGGGGACTAAGGTGACCTCCTCTCTCAGGTACTGCTTTACTAGGCAGCAGGGTGTGGGCAGTGGGGGAAGAAACGGGGTTGGCGCTTTCCTCAAGCCTCACCCCGCACCCCCCCCCCCCAACAGTGCCCTGGGCCTGCCTTTGTTCTTGGCCGCCATCTTCTCAGCCTCACGAGGGGTCTTGAAGAGCACTGGCTCGCTGGCTGGGCTCTGGCCCTGAATGGAGATGGCCTGCACGTGCACAATGTACTCGGTGTCCTCTTCCAGGTCCCAGAGGGCGCATGAGCGGGTGGTGGTGTTCACCTCCTGGATGAAGCGCAGCATCCGCACGTCCTTCTTCTGCCAAGGAAAATGCCAGGCCCGCTGCTGTCAGCGCCCCGTCACCGACCCCACTCTGCCCACCTCTCTGGCGGTGACATGGGCTCACCCAGCTACCATGCTTTTATAAATAAAGCCTTTATACACATAAGCTTCCTCCCCGATCCCCTCACCTCTGCAGGGAGCTATCGTTATCTCTGTTTCCAGATAAGGAGACTGGGTGCTGAGAGGTTACAGAAGTTGCCCAAGACTGTCTCCCCAGTGAGAACTTGAACTGGGCCCCAAACCTCGGTCTTATGTTTAAGATCAAAACCAGGCTCTTGATTCCCAGATTCCAGTCAAAGGCCCCTGAGCCCTCCTTACTGATCCGTTCCCCGCTGGGGTCCCCATTCCAAGCCATATGTGCAATTCTTCTGCCTGTCCCTCTTGTTCCTTGTTCCTTTCTATTTCTGCACCCCCTCCCCCCCCATCCCCTGCTACTATCTTGATGTGTTCTTCCCTCCCAGACCCTCAAGGGTTACCTGCTGAGAGATGGCAAATCCGATGACAACCTCATCCTCCAGGACGTCCCAGCTCACCACTGCAGAGTTGGCCTTGAGGTGCCTGACAGTGACATTCACTGGGGCCGAGGGGCTGTCTGGGGGTGGGGAGGCACCTGAGCCTGAGCACCCGCTGCTGTGGGGCCCAGGCCCACTGTCTCATAAGTGGAAACCTGGGGAAGGCCACACAGTGGGGAAGGAAGAAAGCAAGGCCTCCATGGGGCTGGCACATCTCAGTTCATCAGTGGTTGAAGAGCCAGGCCTGAGAGGCCCCAGGCTCCTCATGTCCAGGATGGGAGTCCCCACTGGTCACACTGGCCCGATCAGCAGTCCAAGTTAGAACTGACGGGCCTGGGCTAGGGCCAGATCTAACGGAGGAGTGTAAAGAGGTTGGGGGGGGGGGGCGCTGGTAGGGCGGGGGGAGGCATAGGTGGCCAGGGTTGCAGGTGCTGAAAGTTAGTCTGATGAAAAGCAGTCAAAAGGACTCCCAGTCCAGTGCTCTTTCTATAATACCACATTGTCAAGTGACCTTGAGGGAAGGAGAAAGACCCAGAGGTCAAGAAGAGCCAGGCCAGGGTGAGCCCTGGGTTGGGACTGAGGATCACAAGAGGAACCCCCAGTATTGTAGTGACCCAGGATCCAGACAGAACAAAGCCCGGGGAGGGGTCTATCTAGGTGAGCCTCTTCTCCACATTCTGCCAGCCTCGAGAGGCAGGTAGGGAGGTGGCAGGGGAAGACGGGGTCACGCAGAGCACGTTCTCTCGGGAGAGTCAAGAGTACGGGTGGGTCAAGTCTTCTGGATATGGGAAAAGGGTGAGAGGGGGTCAGTCAAGAAGGGAGAGTAACAGGATGGTGGAGGTCAGGGAAGGAAGAACCTCTCTAGGAGAGGGGCCGTGAGTCACACAGCCTCTCTGTCTCCCAAGGGGCAAGTGCTGCAAGGGGGACACCTGGCCCTGACCAGCACCCTTCACCCCACAGAGGAGTGGACCTGAGGCCCAAGGGGCTGGGCCTGGGGCGACAAAGCCAAAGTGGAGATAGAGACAGAGGGACACAGACAGGTGGCGGCAGACACAGAACCAGAAAACAGACAAGTGGGCTATCAGAGACAGACGTAGAGAGGAAGCAGAGAGAGAGAGAGGGAGAAAGCACTGAGCCACAGAGAGATGGGTAGAGGGACAGATGAGCGAGGCGCCAGAAGCCAAAGGGACAGATACAGAGCCTGGGGAGAGCCTGGGCTGGGTTAGGATGAGGCCGGCACACGGGGCAGGCCAGACAGTGACTGCAGTAGGCTCAGGGGTCCATCCCGCCCACCCAGAGCCCTAGGGTGCCAGTCCCCATCCCCCTCACACATGCTCACGCAAACTGGGGCCCCATCCTGCTCCGACCTGCAGAGTTGTCCTGCAGGGCTTTGGGGACAGGGAGGGAGGCCCAAGGTTGGGGGACTGGTGTCCTCGGCTGCTCCCCAGGCCAGAGAAGGGAGCTCAGCTCAGGCACCTGAGGCAAAGGCCTGGGGTCAGGGCAATGGGATGAGGGGACCGGGGAATCGCAAGACCCTAGACCCCAAAGACCCCAGGGCTAGGGTGGTGGGCAGGGGCTGGAGGACGGGCCTGGGGGTCAAGAGGTGGGGAAGAGGCCGGGGGCAGGGAGGCAGGAAGGGCCCCGAGGACTCCCGCCCGCCCACCCGCCCGCGCCGCGCCGAGCCCCCAACCC